AGAGTGCTTCTTAATTCAGTGATAACAAAGAGTATCTTTATTTGTGAAGCACCTTAAAGATAACTGTACAAAGTGCTCTACAGAAAGCAGCAAATCTAAACCAGGCAGTGGTGGGATGTAACATTTACTCAAATACCTTTTTAGGCACAGTATTTCCCCTTTCATTTACTCTGCTACCATTACTTGGCAGCAATAGTATTTGAATTTTACATTATTTTTAAGACTATAAGTGCATTTAGCAAGTTCTTACTTTTGGATTTGGCCATGTCTTCAAACTTCTGAAAACTGGATTTTAAACTGGAACTTATTAGAAACAAGCTATAAAATAAAACCAATTGCAATATTATAACTGAAGAAGAAACCCGAATAGGTTGAGATGAGCTGATAAATTGTGACTTAAACCCTTTTTGGTCCTGAGTTGGCTCTTTAAAGCAGTGCACCCACCTGAAACTGGCCTACTGCCTTTACAGGTTTTGTTTTATTTCTGACTGCTTATATCCTCACACTGTCAACCACATTTAGAAATGTGTCATCAAAGACATTTTGAAACAGCACTGTCAGCGTTTCATAGAGTTAAATGTTTACCCAAAGGGCATGCATTGCTGTCTCTGCAATCTGTAAAGACAGAGCCGTGTTAAGCTTTGAAGGAGATTACAACATTTAGGAGCTATTCACATTTCTCACTAATAACATGAAAGAAATAAATCTGTCAGCCTTCTTGTTCTCACCCTGCACTTTAGTTGGAATCGAGTGCACGCACCAGTATGAAGAGGCAAATGCGGAAACGACGGAGTTTCTCCTCTGATCAGAGCTTGTTGGATGAGTCATCCAGCGCCTAAGGGAGTCAGTCTGTGGGATCTGCGTGGGAGAGCTCAATCATCGACAAACAGCTCTCCTGGCCTATTGAAGACTAGAAGTCATGACACTGTGCTGTCGGTGTAAGCCAGGAGGTGTACAGATGCTTTTATAAACCAGTGGCTGATTGAATAAATTTACCTTGCCTTCACTGATGACGTGTTGTTTTCAAGGTCCCCTGCTCTTAAACTTCTACCACACTCTGGGGGGGAAAAAGTACATTTTAATGTAATTCTGAGCATTTTAAAGGATTCATGGCACGTATTTATACATGGCAATGATGTCTGTCATCGGGTGTATTTAACAAGGACCTTATTTATAATTTACAATTTTATATTGGGCTGTGACTATTTTATTTTCAATATCAACTAGTCTATTTTGGTTTTATTACTTTTTTTTAAGTTTACAAAATGTCAAGAATAATACATTTCAATTTACAACTTTCAGGGAGAAAAAATATGTGAATAGACTTAAGTTTATTGTGATTATCCCACATTCAATAATATTAATAATGACATTATTTTTCTGCTTTCCTTTTTTTCCAAAATACTTCCCCAAACATTACATTGACATGACCCTACATATCTCACTGTAAATATCAGTTGTACACATCTATTGGTAAATTCGTTCTGACTGTTCATACTGTAGATACTGTGCACTGCTGTTATTACACCTCTGGTTAGATGCTAAACTGCATTTCGTTGCCTTGTACTTGTACATGGGTAATGACAATAAAGTTGAATTTAATCTAATCTAATCAAAGCAATAGGCTAAATTAAGCATCTTATATTCTAAGTTCCTATATGTTTTGCTGGTAAATAGAGAGAATAGAAAAACAACGACCGTAAACCCCACTGTGAGTTCATAGAGAACTCACACTGAAAAACATTGTTCCTTTGAGATTTTAAAGCTATTTATTAAAAGGTCCCACCAAAACAATGATGTATGCAGGAATTTCCTATTGCTATGATATGTTATGTTATATACTAAAAAAAACACAAGCAATTACAGGAAAATGTTTCCTTTAAATATCTCCAATGTGCTTTAAAACGTTGGAAACGCCTTTAACGAGCCCTATGGACCACTAGAGAGGAACTGCAAACCCTTGGGGGATATTCAAGAGCTACTACGATAACTTTATGTGCGGGCCGAGTTCCGTCTTTGCTTCGGCTTCAGTCGGAGCTGTTCGTGTGTCGTCGGGCTCAGCCGGTGGGAGAGAGCGCATCGGCTCTTAGCGCCGGAGACAAGCGCCATTCATGTGAGCAGACGGCAGGCACACCTGGTCGGACCGACGGCACCACTTTAGCCACTGAAACAGCCCCACACAGGTGAGTTTCCACCTGAAGTTACACTTGTGCGCACTTCGAGTTAACTTAGTGGAGAGAATGTGCTCAGAGATAATCGCAGAGTTGAAACTTTTACGCAGCAACTTACTTTTACTTCTTATTGACCTAGTGTACGTCAACACCAAAGATACTTGTGTAGCTTTGGGAAAAGAGTTTTATTTCTCCCGTAGCTCACTTTTGTTTTCATTCCACTTGTCAACAGGACCCAGGTTAATCACTAAAGGAATGCGGTGCCATTAGGACAGGAGCCCAGAGCAGAAAGTTCATATCGACTTGAAGTTAATTTTCACCAGCTTGGCGTGTCAAAAAGGAATCATGGCTACAGGCGGGTTTAAGTCCAACGCCGCGACGGACTTTTTGGAGGAATGGAAGGCAAAGCGGGAGAAAATGAGAGCCAAAATGCTCGGGGAGATTGCCGCAGCGTCTACTGGCCCCTTGGGTGCTAGTAACACAAATAGCACCAGCAGGCAGCCAGGCACCGAGCTCCCCAACAACGGAAACCCGGACAGAAGCGCCTCCTCTGGGAATTGCTTCCCCTCCTCCTACTCGGTGGCTCGGTCCTCCTCCGGAACGGCTCTAAAGAGACCCGAGGAGGAGACGCACCACTTTGCGCACCCTCCCGCTTCCATAGCCTCCCCGGTTTGCAACCTGAAGAAGGCCCCGCCTCAGACGGAAAAGGCTCGGTGCGCTTCCCCGGACCCCAGATCCATGGCTTGCAATGACAGTGACAAGGAAAGTCCATCTCCCAGCAAGAGCAAGGATAAGAAGAGCGCAGGGCCCAGCGCCAGGAAGGGGAAAGGACAAATAGAGAAGAGGAAGCTGAGGGAAAAGAGGAGATCAACAGGTGTTGTCAGTATACCATCCAATGAGGTAAGTCAGTGCAACGCGGTGGAAAAACACTTTCTTTGGGCTGTTGCATCTCCACAGGGAAGTCATAGGTCAGCCTGGGAAGCTGCATCCACAACAGAGTCTGACTGATGTTGAATATGTGGTACTGGAGAGTTTAGAAACAACTGAATTAGTTAGTGTTTGCACATAATGCATAACAAACCTTTTCTGATAAAACTCCTTACATTTAGTTAATAAAAAAGAGGGGAAATGCATGTTGTCAGTAAAACAGCAACTCTTCCTTTTTGTTGATTTCTGTTAACCTGTCAGTCATTTCTCAATAATACTTTCCGGATCCTGTTGTGCTTGTTTTGTCCAACTAGTCCAAGCCCAGATCAAAGTAGCAGCTCCTCACATTTGGGATGCTGAATGAGTAACTCTGGCTTTATTCATTTTTACTGGACAGATGATTAAATGATTAATCAAATATCAAAACAGATGTTTTAATTCCTG